ATAGCTAGTAAATAAAAAAATAATACTCAATTGAACTTTGTAATTACTCATATTTTTACAGAAAATTCCGTGTTATCCCAGCCCTGGWGTTCCTTCAGACGTTTGCATCAGACAGATCCCACATGAAGAAAGCTAACGGAGAATGGATAAAGGATCCCCCACCTTATCCTCCAATCAGAACAGCAGGTATTGACTATATTTTATTGTAAAGTTTTTCTGTGTTGTAATTTAAGATACGCTGTAATTGAAGTGGGGATTCAAATAGACTGTGAGGGGAGGGGTGGGTAGGATAGGCTGCAGGGGGATAGTGAGTGGAGAGTAGAATAGACTTGGGGGGATGGGGGTTTGAATAGACTGTGAGGGGAGGGGTGGGTATAGGCAGCAGGGGAGACTGAGTGGAAAGTAGAATAGACAGTTAGGGAGAGGATAGGATAGCTGCCTATTGAAATCTTGTTTTTCGCTGCTGTCAATCAAAAATAATCCATCAGTATATTTTACATGATTGACTGGCAGCATATAGAAACAAACTTCCAAACTTGAGTTGCTGCATATAGTAGTATTGTGTAGTTCCGAAAATTATCCATACCCCCCTCACGGAGGAATTTTTTTTAAGACACCCCCTACCCCCGGAAATTCCAATTTTCTTCCATACAAACTCTGTAATTTTTGTTCTTTCTCTGACCCACCCACTCTTCGGAAATTCCAAATTCCTCTGTGGGGTGGGTATGGATGATTTCTGGAACTACACACTGAAATTTGCTATAACATACAACATCAACACCAGAACTCTTCCTTTCCAGATTGTACAATGAATTTAGATGACTTTATTGACATGACCCCTTTGACAGGCGAAGGAACAGTAATGGACTATAAAACATTCACCAGAACATTTTCCTCCCACAGAACATAGGTATACTTTCCAATAGGTCTCTTCACCTTGGACATAACGTTTTCCCATTCCACGCCATGTGTTATTCCCTTGAGTATCATTTTTTGTTTAATGGTTGTGACATGAGAAGACACATGAATATGGATACCACTCAAACAAAAAATCTTATTGTGTAGTTTCAAAAATTATCCATACCCCCCTCACGGAGGAACTCTTTTAAGACACCCCCCTATCCCAAGAAATTCCAATTTTCTTCCATACAAATTCTGTAATTTTTGTTCTTTCTCTGACCCCCCAACTCTTCGGAAATTCCAAATTCCTCTGTGGGTTGGGTATGGATGATTTCTGGAACTACACATTCTCAAGAGAACGACACATTTGATGAAATAGGAAATCTTTACACCCAAGGTTAAGAGTTCGTTTGTACATTATTGCACATCAGTATTTTTATGTTATTCTGAGTGTCTGTTCCATATGTAATTCAATGTAATGTATTTGATGGGACAACTACAGCACGTTCCATATGTAATTCAATGTAATGTATTTTCCAAACAAAAGAAAGTGTGGAAAGGATTCTGGTAGTGGTTGTACATGATGCTATAATACCAACTGTCTCAGTTTTTCATTCAATTTAACAATTTTCTAGAATTAGACTTTATATAATCACTAATCAAATATAGACATTAATTTGTAAATGATTTATTAACAACCTTGTAAATAAACTTTGTTACTCAACTAAAAKTACTTCAGAATAGTATCCCCTAATATACACCTATTTCATAAATCGTTGTCGCACCAAAAGCCTCAAGCAACAAGCCAAGACCGCAGAGAACGCCGGTACTTTTAGCTGTAATTAGTTTATTCATGGTGCATTTTCATTTATTGACTTCACAAATTGCTCCAAGCAAGGCTGCTTGAGATGATAATTAGTGTAAAGCTATAGCCACTTGCATGAACCATGAATAAATGAATTTATAATTAAAAGTACCGACGTTCTCTGGAGCCTTGGCTTGTTACTTAAGGCTCTTGGTGCGACAACGATTTTCGAAATAGGTGTATATAAATGCAGGAATTTATGTTGCACGATATTTATGTTATGTAACAACCCCTGAACGCAACTATCGTATCTGCTCGATATTTCTTTTCTGAAAAGAGAGATTGCGCGATTTTTTATTTTTATTTTTTTTTGTAGGTGAAGAGCTTGCTCGATATTTGGGGGAAGTGGGGGCGGATTGACGCACCCCACCCCCTCCCCCCTCAATTATTTAATGGTCCGTCTTTAATATTCGTGATTTCAAGTGCGGCAGTAAACAAACCTGATTTGTTGACTGTGAGGACCTTCATCTTGTATCAATAATGTCATCACTCATTGTTAGACCAATGCTGAGTGAAAATGTGTCGTACAACGCACGCGATCGCTTTGATGTCAGAGACCGGTAGATATGCCCAGCTCAATMGACCCTTTTCGAGTTCCAAATTACCGCTGTGTTTCTYGATTACGGACCCATTTACTCAGGCTAAGCCTCGATTTTGTGAAGAATATGCACGTTCTCCTGTCAAGGTCCGTCAAATTTCAAAGAGTTCGTATTGTTGAAGTTGTGCATTCTTTACTTTACCGTTGGTATTTGYGRRTAWTTARACACTGATKCGAGGCTWARCCTGAGTAMATGAGTCTGTAATCAAGAAACACAGYGGTAATTTGGAACCGTCGAAAAGGGTCKATTATGCTTTTGGACTTATGAATTCAAACCACATGTCTGTTAAGAGCTTGATATCGTTTTTATTCACGACTTTCCATATGATAATTATATCGAAAACTGATTTAAGTTTGTTGTGCTAAGTTATTGAAAAATATAATGTCAACATATAAAATGCAAAATCCATTCAAAATTTGACGTTTGTAAACAAATTTTACGTCAATGGCTATTCATAAATTATTGTTATTGTCGTAATTCTTCGTCATTGATTGAGTTATAAATGTCTATACTAATTGTATGTATACATATATTCAAGCTTTCGCATTCTTGTTCCAAATCAGTGTCAAATATGTTGATAAGAACAAAATGGAAATTAAGACGCCCTTAAAATAGCTTAAAACAGACTTTTGTCAAAACCGTTGGTCATTGTGGTGTAAAGGACAGTAGCGTAAGTATAAGATTTTGCACAAGAATTACTGAAAATTTACGCGTCAAAAGGGATACAACACGATGCTACATATTTGGACAGTCAAGTCTACAATGAACGTTTTTACACTTATCTTTCTTGCCAGAGCGGTTTTCAGCGGAGCAAATGGTGAGTGTGTTTGGAGTTTAAGTTGCTTCCGTTAAAAACTATTTAAAAAACTTAAAACTTATATTTTACAACCACCACTCCCCATACGGGGCTCTTCCGTGAGGTTCCCTCCACTCACGCTACCACTACATTCTATATTTACAACATACAACACTCAACTCACATGTTGCTTTTTACGGAGTGAGGAAACCGGAGAACCTGGAGAAAACCCTCGTGGCAAGGGAGAGAACAACACATCAAACAAACTCAACTCACATAAGATCCAGTCTGAGCCGGGGCTCGAACCCGGACCACAGTGGTGAGAGGCGAGCAGTAAACCACTACACCACCCATGCTACCCGAAGTTAACTTGCATACGTATGATCGTTGATTCTCACGCTCTCAGTTCGAACCCGTCAAGCTGCGCCACTGCTGTACTTTGGGGTGTTRATTAGCGATGACAAGTTTTTTGTATTCCCCTTTTTAAGATACGTCACAATACTACTAGTACCCTCGGAATCCTTTTCGTAGTTCCTTCTGTTGTCCTAATGAACACTTGTGAATCCCAAATAAGTTAAAGCATTTGAATATGAAAAATAAATCAATGAGGATTCTGGTAGTTGGGGTATCGAGACAGAATAATGGTCGCGAAAGTAGCGAAGAATGTTTCTCAGGCTGAGTCTTTTCTCAGCCTGTGCAAAGTTACTAGATTAAAAATTTAAAAAAAGGTAAAGATAATTTGCATATCTCCCTTAATATAAGTTTCAGTTACTATAGAGCGTTTTCAYTCRCGTGAGAAGGCAGCCATAAACAATAGAAACTTTCTGCACAGTATTTGCATAAAAATAGAGTTCAATTCCCAGAGGATAGAAAATCTATTGTTTTGGTACYCCATAATGGCCGCTGTGACGTCACGCGAAAACGCTCTATTGGACATGCATTCCAAGGTATTCAGGGGAAAACTGGGACAAGTTGGCATCGCAATGAATTGTGGGGCTATATTTTAGGGGACTAAACAGACGCCATCTTGGAAATATTTTCGTAAAACCACCCCAAAATGCACTGCAATGTCGACTGGACAAAGTTTTTTCTTAACTTCGTGACGTTTAATGAAGGCTTTGCACCATCATGTGACGGCAGCCATGACAGGAGGCACAACAATAGAGTTTTTCTCCCTGGGAGACTGAACTCTTTCTTGTGTAAATCAGATGAGACCAGATTCAATTGTTCCTGCCTCCTGTCATGGCTGCCATCACGTGTTTATGCGAAGCCTCTATAAGGCGTTCACTCACGTGACAAGGCAGCCATATTGGTGTACCAAAYAATAGAAACTGTCTGCMCAGTTTTTGCATAAAAATAGAGTTTAATTCCTCGACGATAGATTGTTCTGGTACATCAACATAGCCGCTGTGGCCGCAGGAAAACGCTCTATGCAGTCGTAAAATTTGAGTTTCAAAGAAATAATTTTGACCGTATTAATTGATTGATTCTTTAATGTTCCAGAGGTGATATTCAAGTGTTACATGTGTAAAGGCGGAGATCAATCCATCGATAAGTGTGACATCAACAAGGTGCCTCAGCTGTGTTCCACAGAGATGAAACGTTGCGCTACCTTCTCTTACGTCAACACAACTGGATATCGTACGTATGGAAAAAGTTGTACTTATGAAGATTATTGTACTGGAAAATTCTGTAAGATTATGGAGTCTGTAGGTAACCGAGATTGCCGTATTGAGTGCTGTCTTGGAAACCTCTGTAATTATCAGAGAGGATTTGCTTTGACTACAGCACGCGTGGTAACTAACA